CCAGTGTATCACTGAGTGCTTAATCTGTAAAGCCAGCATAAACCACTGGACTAAATTGTCCATTACCGTGAGCTCAAATTATCTCATCATCCAGAGAATGATCTGGTTGTCTTGCTCACTTTGGAAATGAAGAGACGAAGAGGCAAAAGGGCCAAACAGGAGGAAAAGTCTAGAAAAAAAAAATCAGTTTTCTGAGGTCAGGAAAGTCTTCCAAGGTTGTAGATTGGTTGGCCCGTGTCAAAAAATATTTTCAAAGTCATTTATATTTTGAGGCTCAGTGAGTTAGAACAGTCTAAGAATCCCTTTGAAAGCTCTGGAAGATGTGGTTGTGTCTTGGGGACTAGTGTTCTGAGACGATGATTTTCCTCCTGAAAAATCATTAGGAAAAAAAAAAACAAAAGGAATAAAGGAAAGAGAAAGACCCTTGGAAGACAATGGGAGCCCTTCAAGGAGAGGTCCAGGTTAGTTTGTGCAGCTCCAGGCAGACAGTCCCTCTGCAGTTCCCCAATTTGCATTCCTGTTCACAAAGCCACTTTGAAAATCTTGGGCCCAGCTCACTCACAACAGGGTGTGGAATGAAAAATTTCTGGTTGTCCCAGAACTTCAGCTGAACGTCAAAGGTGAGGGCAGTGGGTAACAAAACTTCCTCTTCTGGTAAGAGGTGGCCAGACTGGTCCTTTGGCTCTCTGTAACCATCAACCCCAGCCTCTATGAGATAAGGTCCTGCTTCCCACGCGTTCAAAGGTCCCCAAACCTTTGAACATCCTGAAAAGAGTCCACCCACCAGCAGAGCAGCCTTCCAGCCAGGGGGTGTCAGAAGGGACGTGGGGTGCTTCCTGGGGAACGAATGGAGATGGACATGCAAGAGGTCATGAGTGTATGCAGTGAGTCCCCACAGGGTCCCCAGGGGTGTCAACAGTTTCTCCAGTGTGCCCCCGTGAACCCTCAAATGGATGCCTGGCAGGATACCATGGGGATCTGACACCCTGTACTCCTCTGGTCTCAGCCAAGGGTCCTTTCCACTCAGCCCTCCCGAGCTCCCAAACCTGAACCAGGTGAGCTGCAGAGCAGGATGGAGAGGGCACACCCAACCTTGAACCCACTGTAGATCCCTGAGCCATCCTGGTCAGGCAGGAAGGGACTGGGAAGAGGAATCAAACTGAAAAGGAGAATGAACCCTCCCTCTCTCCTTCCCTCCCTCTCTTTCTTTCTTTCCTGGGGAATTGAACCCAGGAATGTTCTGCCATGGAGCTACACCCTCAGCCTTGTTTTATTTTGAAACAGGGTCTTGGTAAGTTGCCCAGGCTGGCCTTGAACTTCTGATCCTCCTGCCTCCCCCTCCTGACAGCTGGTATTACAGGTGTAGCTGACCAGACTGCCCCACAGGAATGAAGTCTGGATTGTACCATAACTGAAGTCCAATACCTGAAAAGGAGACTGTTCTAAACAGTTTCAAGTAACCCAAGGCTCTAAGATCTTTGGAGATGTGGCCCAGGGGGCAGAGGAAGGAGCGTGGATGGTAGGTCTGAGTCTGGACAAGCCCTGGGAGACGAAAAATGAAGCGTACTTGACTTCCCCCTTGGTGGGGCTTCTCCTGCCAAGTTCAGCTCATCCAGTAGCCCAGGCACAATCGTTATAAATGACAATATCTCACTATTGATAACCCCCCGCCCCCGGGGCCCATTATTCAGAGGCAGGATGCAGTTTCTGCAATGAAATACAACAAAGTCCCCTCTGGAGCCTCCATGGTGAGGTCCTCATCAGTTTGAGGTATGGGCCAGGAGGGACTGCAGGCTCTGAAGAGCCCATTCCCTGGCTGCAAGGGACAGCACTGTTGCCCAAGGTAGTCAGATCTTCCCAACCTTTTTTTTTTTTTTTTCTCAGAAAGGCCATTTTCTATGATTTTTTGGTAGTGCTTACTGGCGTGGGGATTATTAGAAAGAATCTCAGTTCTTTCTTGCAATGGACACAATCTGTTCTGCTAGTTTCAGCAGGGGTTCTTTAACAGGGTGGCAAATTGTGTGGTCCATCCCACCCCCCATTCATATGTGGAAGCCCTAACCCTCAATGGGACTGTATCTAGAGAAAGGGTTTTTGAGGGTTGTTGGGGTTAGATGCAGTCATCAGGGTGGGGCCTTAGATGAAGTGGTGCCTGAGCTGACATGTGAGGACCTAGTGAGAAGGTGGCCGTCTATAAGCCAGGAAGAGAGCCCTCACCACCGGGCCGGCCCCCCTGACCTTGAACTTCCAACTTCTAGAACTGTAAGAAAATAAATTTTTGTCGTTTAAGCCACCCAGTGTTTTGTTTTGATGGGCAGAACCGACTAACACAGGTTGGTGAGTAGCCTACAGAATCTCCAGGGGGACCAGGGAGCAATTTGGGGTCTGTGTGGCTATGAATGGTGTCCACACCCAATGGGCACCATGCCACAGCTTTCAGTATGGACACTGGGGTTTACACAGGCCCGGGGCACCTGGCTGCACGAAGCCACCTGGGGGGATTCATTGGCTGCCATGCTCACCATCAGATAGATCCCTCCCCTTCCATTCAAATCTGGGCCACAGGGAAGGAGATTGAGGACCTAAACTTTTCCCAAGAAAAGGGGCTGCTGCTGGGGGCCATAGAAGCCAGTAAAATGTTTTATCCATCTCACAGGGTTGGAGGGATGAAACTGGGGATTTGGGAGGCTAATCTCCCAGGGAGAAGGGAGGGACAGATAGTGGGCCTGAGAGATGGCAGTTTTGCCCTCAAGATACTGGACAAATTCTGAGACAGTGCAGGGTAAGGGGCTCCGAAGCCAAGCAGAAAGACCCTGAAAAACAGAAGAGTTTCCCAAAGTCTGGCCATGCTGTAGAGACAAAGGATAGTGATCAGGACAGGAGAGAGGGGCCCTGGGAACACCAAGGGCAAAGACAGAGGTAGGGGTCAGAGTTAACCCAGTAAGCTTCACCCAGCTCACCCAGCTCCACCCAGCTGAATTAGGATGAGCAGTCCCCAGGCCACCTGTCTTGCTGAGAAAGGGTGAGCCCTCTGTGGAGCTAGGTAACATCATTTAGAGACTACGTTTTTTTTTTTTGTTTTGTTTTGTTTTCATACACACTATCTGGCATTCAATAAAAGTTACAGGACCTGCCAAGAGACAGGACCAAATCACTGAGAACAAAGAGAAAAATAAATTCAAAGAGATTCACAGGTGAACAAGGTATTGTATGGGAGTTAGACAAAGGTTTTAAATAACAATGTCTAAGAAAAACAAAGAAAAAGATGAAGAAAATAGATGAAAACAGAGATGATTTTACCAGAAGAGTGGAATCCATAAACCTCATGGTCCTAAAGATTGGGAGTCTAGAGAACACACTTGACCTCCTGTTGACATTTTTTTTTTTTTAAGATGTTGGAGATGGAACTCAGGGCTTTCTGCTGCTTGAAAAACACTGTCCCACTGAGCCACATCACCAGTGCAACAGAGAGATTTTGAAAATGTTACCTTAGCTCTGTATGAACTATAAAATCCTATGGCTTACCATTTCAAATAAGTAAATTTGCCACCCAACTTGGCCATCACTGGTGGGCTGTTCTTCTCAAGCGGTTTTCTGTAAAATATTCAGATTATTTATTCTGAGCCTCACACTGCCCCATAACTCTAGTTTCTTAACATGGGGCTCTGTTCACAAGATGCCTTTTTTAACTGCGCTCTCCCCCCATCCCCCACGCCTTTTAAAAAGAGACAGGGTATTGCCATGTTGCCCAGGCTGACCTTGAACTTTCTGGTTCAAGTAATCCTCCTGCCTCAGCCTCCCAAGTAGCTGGGACAATTGGCACACACTACAACACCGACTGCTAATTATTGCAAATGCATTTTGCCGGGTGGAGGTGGGGGAATGAGTGTTGGCAATACTATCAGATAAGGTGGTCAGAGAGGTAAGGCCTCTCTGAGATGATATCTGATTTGACCGTGAGTGACAAGCAGCCAGCCTTGGGGAGGATTAGGTTGAAGTGTGGTCTGGACAGAGGTGACATGTAACACAGATTTAATCAGGGGCTGGCAACCTTTTCGGTAACCAGACAGGAAGTATTTCAGATGTCGTGAGCCACACACTTGGTAGCAACCACTCAAGTCTACAGTTACAGGGCAAAAGTAACCAGAGACGATAAGCACGGGTGGTGGTATTCCAGTTACACTTTGTGCACGTTGAAAAAGGAATTTCATGTAACTTTCTCATGTCACAAAATGTTCTTTTGTCTTCTTCCCAACCATTCAATAACCAGCGTTAATTCTGGTACCACGGGTTGCTGATATAAGGTTGGGGTCAGACCCAGAGGCCCTCAGAGGACAGAGTCATAATCAGAAATGAGGCAAAGTCCTTTTCCCCCGGCAAATGTGCATCCAGCAGGGAAGGCTAGGGGACCGTCAGGGACGCGGCTTCCTAAGGCACCGGGAAGATCAGCAGGTTTGTTTTATTCTTTCCCTCATTAACAAGAAACGACAAAAAGGCACACACAGACACGGAGCCAGCAGGGCAGAGAGGACGTGCCCGGGTTCACGCTGACGTCTCTCCCACACGCACCCAGGGTTTTAAACTTGGGCGCACACCTGCTCCCAGCAGGAGCGCACCTGCTGAGCAGTACTCCGGCCTCGTCTCGCGAGAGCGACGCTGTAGTAGTGGCCCCCGCCCCCACCCCGCCACCCAATCCTTCTCCCCGCCCCCCGCCCAGCCTCCACGCTCCCGCACCCTCGCTGCCACCTCCCCGCCACCTCCGCCGCCCCCGGGAGCCGCGCGGCCCGGCGGGCTGCCCCTCGCCCCGCCCGCCCCCGCTCCCCGGCTCGCTTGCTCGCGCGCCCCGTAGTAATGTCACTTGGCCACGCGAGCTCCGCGGCCCCGGGACGCCCCGCCCCCGCGCCCCTGCCCGCGCCGCCCGCGGCCCTTCCCCGGCCAGGTGCGCGAGCCTGCGCGCTCCGCCGCCGCCGCCCCCCGCGGGTCCCTGGCGCGCCGGCCCGGGCTGGGGCGGCTGCGCGCACGGCGCCTCTCCACCAACCCGCTCCCCGCAGGTCTCTCGCTCGCTCCATCCCTCGCCGGCGCCCGCTCGCTCCCCCCGCCCTTTGATTGACAGGCAAGATGTCGGTGTGGAGCGAGGCAGGAGCGATTGCAGCAGCCGTCACCCCCGGAGCCCGGCGGCGGCAGCAGCAGCAGCAGCAGCAGCAGCGCGGGGAGGAGACAGCAGCCAGCCGCAGTAGCCGCCGCAGCCGCGGGAGCAGTGCAGACAGCATCTTGAGAACGCGCTAAAGCACTCGGAACCGTGGACCATGCCGTGTCACTGCAACTGGGAGGGGGGCAAACTCGCTTTTTTTTGACATAAAAGCCAGCCAGCCAAAAATATATAATTTTGTCCTTCACGGAGCCGGTGTGTAAAGAGTGAGCGCTATTTTCCTCCTCCTCCTCCTCCTCCTCCCTCCTCCTCCTCTTTCTCCTTCTCCTCCTCTTTTTCCTCCTCCTCCTCCCCAAGTGCACAGACAGCATCACATCACCTGGTTGTTTCTGAGAAAAGGCATCTCTCCTTTTCAGGGACTAGAGACTCAGAGGAGACATTCTAATGGAGACTGCCTGATACCCCCCCCCCAATAAAATAATAAATTTTGTCTCTTGTCCCCTCCTCCTACCCCCACCCCCTCAACCCTGTGTGAGATGTTGGGTTTCTTCTTCATGAGACATTGTCGAGAAGTCGCAGTGGTTGGAGAGGCGTAGGGGGTAGACTGCCTCTGCCTCTACTCCCTCCCCCCTTTTTTCTCTCTGGGAGGAGGAGGAGGAGGGGAAGGGGTTTTGCAGAGCAAGCGATGGATGAGGAAAACATGACGAAAAGCGAGGAGCAGCAACCTCTGAGTTTGCAAAAAGCCTTACAGCAGTGCGAGTTGGTACAAAACATGATAGACTTGAGCATCTCCAACCTGGAAGGGCTTAGGACCAAATGTGCTACCTCCAACGACCTCACACAAAAAGAAATCCGGACCCTGGAGGTAGGTGTTGCCTACGGGGCGGGGGGGGGGGGGAGGGGGGGAGCGATCCTTCCTTTCCCCTCTTCTTCCCACCATCCCTTTCCCCTCTGATTCTGTTTATTGGGGGTTGGGAGGGATGGGGGTCGGCCAGGTGGGCAAGATTGGTGTTCTGTGATTTATCTTCTTGCAAACCTGCGCCGGAGGTCCCCTCGCTGTGCGGCTGTTGTGTGTGCTTGGCTGGGTGGTGGTAGTAGCAGTAGTAATTGTTATTCGTTATTTATTATTACGGTTTCGGCTGTTCCATGATCATTTGCCTCCTCTTGGAGGAGGGAGTTCTGTCTTTTTTCCGCTTCTGGATTTGTTTATATGCCACGGGGGCTTGTGTGCTGGGTAATATGTTAAGGAGCTGCAGAGAACCCACGTGACCTTGCGCATTCTGCAGGTGGTCAAAAGGTGGTTTGGGCTCACAGAATGGGGCTGCCTCTACATCTAGACTTCTTCTCCTCGCCTCCTTTCCTGCCTCTTTTTGCTCCGTAGATTTTTTATTTCCTCGGTGATATTCCTGTTAGGAAGCAAAATGCAGGAAAAAATAAATCCCCACCGACCTATCCATTTCCAATACAATCATTGTGATGCTGTGAGCTGTTGCAGGCCTTCAATGTGTAAAACAGAAAATAATCCCTGGACCCGAACGCACAGGTGGCGTGGGAAAATACTCTTCCATCTCGGTGGGACTGCGTGAAAGGGGTCCGGGAGGCAGAGTTATCTTTGGCATGTTGTAACATTCTTTCTAACTGAACTTGAGGGGGAGTTTGAAGCAGTTTTTTGAGGGATGGGATGGGGGAGGAGAGGGATGCAAAGTTACAAAGAAGATGGCAGAAAAAAAAATCTCCCTCCCCCACTGAAGGCCATTTGGTCAGAAGAAGGTTTCAGGAGTCTCAAAAAAAAAAAAAAAAAAAAAAAAAAAAGCCTGGGTTTCCATGAAATCTTTGGGCATCCACAATGTTGAAAATGATTCAAAAAGGATTTGGCTCACTTCCTTCCCTCAAAATGGCCCATTGTACGTGTGACTTGATTAAATTTGGGAACTCCTGACATGGGCTGAGGATGGTGGCTGTGGGGTACCCCTTTGATCTCCGTGTGTTACTAAGGCCTGAACTCTGGGGTCCTTACTGATCTTCTAGCCTGGGTGAGGGGTCCTCTCTAATTCAATGTGAGTTTTTTTTTTTTTTTTTTTGTTGTTGTTGTGGTTTTTGCTTTCATGGTTTTAAATTTGGCTGGATGTCAACCTGCAGGAGGTCATCCTTTCGAAAGAGGAGGGTGTGTTTTAATGTAATGTTTGCTACCCCAGGACACATGTCTACGTGCACCTGTCATCTGGGAACATGATCCTCAGAAACGAAATAAGATAAATGTCAAGGGATATTGGGGGAGTGGGGAGTGTGTAGGGAGGCTCAGGTATTGCCTTTCTCAGAGCCCGAGAGAGAAGGCTTGGCTACTGGAAAAGAAAGTGTGGGATGCTTTGGCCCAGGCTCTGTCTCAACAGTGCCCCAGAGCAGATTCTGTTCAGAATTGCATGCAGGAAATAATCAATAGCCCCCAAAGGCCACCTGAGGTCTCATCTGTTCCTCTGAAGTCAGGAGTCCCACAAGTTTATTTTTATCTTACTGCATAAGTTTTTCCAGAATTTTTTCTCTTTAAGTGTGCTCTGTCCTCTGGTAACACCCTGCACAGTGGTGATTATTGAGGTGGGCACTGGGTTCCATGGCTTCTGGCCTGCAGAGAGGTTTTTTCTCCTCAGCTGGGGGATGGAGGCATTCATGTGGTGGTGATGGGGGCTTGCAGTTATAGGGAATGCATCTGTTTGTAGTTTTCTGGTCCCAGGATGTCACTGAGCATGTCGACCACTTTATCCACCATGCCCAGGGACTGTTCTGGGGCAATTATGCCAATTTAGACTTCTTAGTTCTCTAGGGCTGGTGGGTGGGTGTTGGGGGTTGGGGGGCTGATGACTGGGGATCAAGTCCTACCAAACCTCACTTATGGATCCACAGAGTTTTCTACTCCAGCCTATGTCAAATTTCATATATCAAAGTCATGCAAAGATACTTATTAAACTGCAGACCCATAGTAGGTAACCCTGGAGATTCTAGTTCTAGTTGGAAAGGAGAGTGGGCCCAGGAATCTGCATTCAATGAACAGTATTTCTGCATTTCACTCTTTTTTTTTTCTTTTTTTGGGGGTGATGGTGGTACTGGGGATTGAACATCAGGGGCTCTCAACCACTGAGCCACATCCCCAGCCCTATTTTGTATTTTATTTAGAGACGGGCTCACTGAGTTTCTTAGCGCCTCACTGTTGCTGAGGCTGGCTTTGAACTCTCGATCCTCCTGCCTCAACCTCCCGAGCCTTTGGGATGACAGGTGTGCACCATGGTGCCCGGCTGCATTTCAGTCTTTAATAAATCCTATTTCATTAGAAGATAGACGCTGTGTTTCTGCTTTCTGCTCGCAGACGTGGAAGTTAGTAAGAAATTGAATAGATCATCCCTGGAAACCTTGATAGTGAGCAGCATGTAGTAACATGTACACACTCCTGTAGAATGGACTTGGCCTTCAGGAAGCCCGCTTTGTGGGGAGGGAGGCAAGGCTACTCGTATCTCTGTGAAATGACCAGGAAGTCTAAGTGGCAGTGGATAGGAGAGACAGCGCGTGGGCCCACCAGGTATGTGTTTGGCTTCATGGAACGGAAAGCCCAGCAACTTGGGGAAGCATGTCGTTTTTTTCCTCTTTTAGAAGAGGCCTGGGGAGATGGGCTGCTGGTGTTGGCTCAGTGGGGTTGATGTCTTTGGGGATTCCCATGGCCTTTCCCCTAGGGTCGCCAGATGACTTCTGTGCTTTCAGCTGTCAGATCTGGGTTCATGGCAGGAAGGAGGAGGACCCACGGAGTGTGACAGGGTGTCAGGCTTATCCTTCTGGTTTCAGGAAATCAAGACTTCCCCGGGACAGCTTTTCCCCACCTCACTGGGGATGCTTGGTTATGTCTTCTCGGCCAGCATGGGGCCAAATGGCCGTGGGAAAGTGGGAACACCATCACGGGCCGTAGCCTGCCTCGACGCCACACAATATCAGGTTCCGTGAGGCACAGGAGAGGGTGAATGGCCGTTGTGTGGACAGCCAGTAGTGCTGACCCAGAATGTCCATGGTACGAAAAAAAGTTCATGAGCTTTGTGGTTAGAGTTTTGTGTAGCCTTCCTACTTTTTAGAATCTTAGGCTACTAATTTAAACATTTTGATGCACAATTTAACATTTTGTGCAAAATGGCCATCACAGAATGACATCACGTTCCTCAGAGAGTGGTTGCAAGGATTAAGAGTACTTCTGAGTACTTTCTAGCTCTGACTTGAACCTGGTGCCCGCAAGTATTATATAAACAGTGGCCATGGGGATGATGATGGACAGCGTGATGTGGTGTAGGACAGATGACATGGATGAGGACAACTGAGAACAGAAGAGAAGGCATTTGGCTGGCGTTTCCAAAGTAGATTCTGTAGAACCCTAATTTTGTGGAATGCTACCATTTTTCGTTCTTTAATACATGCTACCTTCCAGGGACTGTCTTAGAGGCTGGTAGTCAATAAATGTTCTGTGGACAAAACATTTTGTTGTGTGACTGAAAGGTTTGGGAAAGGTTGAGTTAAGCAGAGAGAAATAGACATCTTCACTGCAGGACTTCTCAGAGCCTTTAATGTGCCTTATATGTGCGTCGTGCGTCCAAGCGAGGATGAGCCTGCAGTGTTTTCCTTTTCCAAGGATTTCCCTCAGGAATTTTCTCCCACAGGATATACCTGGGGTAACATCTGGCAAAGCATTTATGAACGCCTTCTTGGTTGGGAGGATGGGGATTTGGAGTGGAAGGAAGGATGGGAAGGATTGAGATTGCAGCAGAGGGGAGGACTTGCTGGACACGAACAAATGATAAACCCGATAACGGTATCATTCTGTCTCCCTCTGTGGTGAAGCTTAGAGACCAGTGTGCTCAGAATGGAGGGTACCTGATGGCGTGTCATAGGCGATGAATTTGGGTCCCTAACTCTTGGGAGGACAGGGGAGTTAGACCAACCAATTTCATCCCTTTGAGAGGAGATAGAAGACTTCAAAGGTTTTGGGGTGCCAAACCTCATTCAAGTTTTGTCTAATGACAGTTTGCAGTGGGGGTGGCAGACTTTTTCTGTAGAAAGCCAAAAAAATAAAAAAAATAAATATTTTAGGCTTTGTAAGCCCTATAGTTTCACATCACAGCTACTCGGCTCGGCTATCCTAGCACGCAGAAGACATCATCCCCGGAGTTGGCCTGGGGAACGGTTTTCTAATAAAGCTTTATGGATGGACCCTGACATTCGGATTGTATATAATTCAGAGCATAAATATTATTTTTATTTTTTGATAATTTAAAAGTATAAAAGCTATTCTTAGTTTCTGGGCCTTTTAAGAATAAATGGTAGTTTGGGGCTGGGGCTGGGGCTCAGTGGTAGAGGTTTGCCTAGCATGCATGAGGTATGGGTTCGATCCTCAGCACCACATATAAATAAATAAATAAAATAAAGGCATCCTGTCCATCCACAACTACAAAAAAAAAAAAAAAAAGGATTTAAAAAAAAAAAAAGAATAAGTGGTAGGTTGGATTGGGCTCCCTGGGCTGTAGCTTGCTGACCACCTTCCAGTGTGAGACCAGTGTGCTCAGAATGACCATGTTCTGAGCACACTGGTCTCACACTGGAAGGTGGTGGCCAAATGGAGTGGGTCTTTGCTAGACTCCACTTTGGTCACATTGCAAGAGGAGGGCCATAGTGGAGTTGGGGTCGGGTGGGTAAGTGTGGACTGTCCTGCTGCAGCAAGGGCATTGGGTCTGGCAATCCCTTTTGTCCACCCTTCGTTCTTCATCTGCTCCATGTCAGTTATCTGCTGCTGGGCGATATGTCTTCCCTCGACTTCTTACATTTGGGAAACTCTACGACAAC